TGGGTAGAGGGTAACGTGGGGATCAGGACACAAATGTAATATCTTAATCAATAAAAAATATATTTAAAAAAGAACATAACTTATTTTAAAAATTGAACAAGAGAGTTGAACAAACAACTCCAAAAGAAGATATACAAATGATCAAAAAGAAGAAAAGATGTTCAAAATCCTCAGGCAATAGGGAAATGCTAATGAAAGTTGTACTGATTAAAAGAAAGACCACACTGACATACCACTATACTGTCATTAGAATGGCTAAAACTTAAACGTTTGAAGATATATCCTGTTGGAAACTATGGGATTCTAACCCATTTCTGTTGAAAATGTAAAATATACAACCACAGTGTAAAATGATTTGGCAATTTTTTAAAAGAGATTCTCCTCCTAGTTATTTATCAAAAGAAAAAGAAAAAAGAAAGAAAACCCATTTTCACCCATAAGGTCAGTCCACAAGTGGTCATAGGGGTTTATTTACATTTGCCAAAAATGAATAGGTGAATGGATAACCCAATTGTGGTATGCCCATAAAATGAAATACAATGCAGCAACGAAAAGGAATAAACTGTTTTTTTAAAAAGGAATAAACTATTGATATGTGTTCAAAACCATAATGATGAACAAATGAAGCCAGACACAAAGAGAACATCCTATATAATTCCATTTATATGCACACAAGAAAAGATTACTCTGCAGATGTAAAGTTAAATTAGTTGCTTTTGCCTACAGTCAGGGGTGTGGGAGGAGGCATGAGGGAACCTTTTGGGGTGATGGAAACGGTCTACATTTAGATGGGGCGGTGGTCACAAGGCATGTATATTTGTCAAAACTGATTGGAAAAGTTTATCTTATGTGCATTACATGCAAATTACAACTAAAAAATGATTACAAAGACACAACTAAGAAAACCACAGAAAGGAAAAATATTTAGTCACAGTAAATATAACTGCCAAAGGATTTGAACTCAGAATATGAAAAGGAAACCTTCATTAACAATAAAAAGTAGAAGCATATTTTTAAAATGGGCAAACAACTGCAATAAACTTTCAAAAGGTATATATATACTAGAGGCCTGGTACATGAATTCGTGCACGGGTGGGGTCTGGCCAGCCTGCCCCAATCAGGGCTGATCAGGCTGGCTGGCTGGGGGAAGGGGATGCAGGAGGTTGGCCAGCCAGTCCTGCCCCCGATTGGGATGCGGGGGCTGATTGGGGACAGAGCCAGCCAGGGGGAAGGGCCGCGGCCAGCTGGGGGGAGGGGCTGTGGGTTGTTAACCAGCCGGCCCTGCCCCCTGGTTGAACTCCCGGTCGAACACCTGGTCGAGGAGACAATTTGCATATTAGCCTTTTATTATATAGGAGGATGGTGTAAATGCACATGAAAGAATATCCAACATCATTTTTCATGATGGAAATAGAAATTACAGTGATAGTGAGATGCCATTCATTAGAATCCTATATAATAAAAGCATAATATGCAAATCAACCGAATAGTGGAATGTCAGGTTGGCGGGGGGCAGGGCCAGTGAGCAGGTGATGCTAGGCCAGCCAAGGCGAGTGCCAGAGGGAGGGGATGGTGATGGGGTGAGGGGGGCAGCAGTGACCAACAGCGAGGCGATGGGGGCTGATGCCATTCCCCGATCGTCCGCTAAGTCTCCTCCTGCAGAGGGAGGTCATGGGTGGCGGGACGATTCTGGGTGGGGCCAGCTGCTTGCCATCCCCAGATAGGCCCACCAGGGTAGCCTCCCACAAAGGGAGGCCAGACTGCTAAACCATCAGTTGGACATCCCCCGAGGGCTCCCGAACTGTGAGAGGGCACAGGCTGGGCTGAGGGATCTCCCCCTAGTGCATGAATTTTCATGCACTGAGCCTCTAGTCTATATATATAAAAACCTAATATGCAAAGTGTTCCCTCAGGAGTTTGACCGACCAAGAGTTCGATCACTCACTATGATGTGTGCTGACCACCAAGGGGCAGCACAGAATGAAGGAAGGCCCTGACCGGCAGCCGGCAGCTGGAGAACGGAGGCCCTGCTGGCAGCCGGCAGCCACTAGGCACCCTACTGTGCATGAATTTCGTGCACTGGGCTTCTAGTGACTGAAATAAAAAGAACTACATCAAACTATAGCAAAGATATAGAGCAACTGAAACTCTCAGATGCTGTGGTGGGCTGTAAATGGTACCACCTCTTTGGGTAACTGCTTAAATTCACCTACCCTACAAACTGTGTCATTCCACTTCTAGATGATTACTCAAGAGATATGAAAATATACCCACAAGAAGACCTGCACAAAAATGCTCAGAGGACTGTTATGTATATCAAAAGCTGCCAAAGAACCCAAATGTCCTTCAAAGGGAGAATTTTGTCTCTTCTTCCAAAGGGTAAACGAAGTGTCCTATATATTCATAAAATGTAATACAACTCAACAATAAAAAGGAATAATGTAGTGATGCATACCATGAATCTCAAAAACATTATGCTGAGTGAAAAAAGCCAGGCACAAGAGTACATACTGTACGAATTAAGTATATTAAATTTGTAGCCGAAACCGGTTTGGCTCAGTGGATAGAGCGTCGGCTTGCGGACTGAAAGGTCCCAGGTTCGATTCCGGTCAAGGGCATGTACTTGGGTTGCAGGCACATCCCCAGTAGGGGGTGTGCAGAAGGCAGCTGATCGATGTTCTCTCTCATCGATGTTTCTAACTCTCTATCTCTCTCCCTTCCTCTCTGTAAAAAATCAATAAAATATATTTAAAAAAAATAATAAAAATAAATAAATTTGTAAGCAAGTAAACTAATCATGTGATGACAGATGAGAACAGCAGATGCCTCTGAGGGGTAGAAAACTGACTCAGTATGTGGTACGAGAGAACACGGGCCCCCTCCAACTCTCCCCTGTGGGATATAATGAAGGTCATTTGAGAGAGCACCATGGGACTTAGGGAACCTGGCCAAGGCCTGGGTCAAGGAAGGACCAAAAAGAAAACGTTTCTGGGTGTACGCCTAGAAGGAACATGATGGCTGGTTGCTCTGTCATCTGTGCTCTATATAACCCTGGAGACTTCAATGGCAACCGCTCCCCCTCCGCCCCTCCCCGCCCCTGCCCCACGCACATGTAAGTTCAATAAGTCCTAATAAACTCATGTCTTTCACAGCCAGTCCAAGAGAGAACTTTTGGGGGTAATGTAAATGGTCTACTTCGGGTTTTGGGTGGTGGTCCAATGTAATTATTCAACTTTCAAAATGGGGCATAGCACTGTCACGGACCTAACACTTAAGATGTCTAATTTTTGTAAGTAAATTATATTTCAAGTTTAAAACTCATGCAAAAGGGTTATGAATCAAAACAAAATTTATTCAGCGGCACCCTGGGGTATATACATGTCTGTAACTTCTGAAGTTTACACAAAAAACAGAAACCCTTCTGAAAGAAGTATATAAAATAATGCCAAACCACAAAAAGAAACTCATGCTAGCACTAAGTGAAAACGTAAGATTTAAAATTGTACATATGCTGTGGCTGTAATTATATAAAATATGGCATGAGGAAATAGCTGACGTAGCAGTGTAGTCACGTGGCTTTTTAAAAAAATTCTTCATTGTTTAAAGTCTTACATATGCCTCCTTTTTCTATAATTGACCTCTCCCCAGCCACTCCCACCTCCCAGCAATGTGGCTTTAAAAAATTTTTTTATATCTATGAATTTCTGAACTTTCCGTAAAATGATGATAAAACCAAAAATAAAAACAAAAGTTCAAATAGAACCAATATAAACAATAGTAACTGGCACATAACGAACACCTGTCTTTTATCCTTCCCAAGGAAGAGAAAGATGCTGTGTCTAACCTTTGAGATCTTTAAGAGATCAAAATCAAAACTCAACTCACCTGGAACGTGGCCATTTCCTCCTGCTCCTGGAGAAGCACAGAACCCTGGAAGGCAGAAGTGGCAAAGGAGAAAGAAGCCATGAGACACAGGCCCTGGCACATATGGCTGCTCTGCGTGAGTTTTAAAAAGTGACCCCTCCTTCGGCCCATAGCAGTAGCCTCTCAGCCAGGGGCCCTAGTGCAGCGAACTACCTGCCCGGCTCCAAGCAGAGTCCAGGGTCATCGCTCTCATCCTGGGGACCGTGGGAAATGAGAGGCCCAGGAATGCACTGGCCATGACAGTGAAAGCAAACTCAGAGGCCAACAGGTCTGGGTGGGGCACATTGCCAGAATCCCACTAATGATCCTTCTGACCAACTAGCCCTTTGTGCCTATTCCACATCTATCAAGTGGGGGTCGTACCACTGTCTAGCTCACAGCTTTGTCAATACATTCAAATGCGCATGCAGTACCTGAGAGCTACTCATGTTCACGGGCCTTCCTACTTCCGGCAGAAGGACTGTGGCGGGAATGAGAGCAACGCATCCACTTCTCAAAGCCTGGAAGCAATTCCCTTTATAACGTCCAATTCCTTGCCCTGGCCCTACATTTGCTGCACTCTCCTGCTCAGCTCAGTAATGGAGCTTTGCAAGGAGACCTGACTTTTCACAGTATTTAGTGAGAGAAAGCAAGTGGGCTCTGGGGCGTCTGGCTAGCTGGCCGCCTGCCTGCCACCTGCCAACCACCAGCCTGCTGCCTACCAGCTACTCTGAGACGCCCTCCATCACCTGGGAACATTTGGGGGCTAATTAGAGGGTAAGCAACTCTTTCGCCTATAAGATGATTAACACATCTTTTTATCCTTTGCAGCTAGAATAGAGCGAGAACTCAAAAATCCATGGAATCAATGAATGGCTGAAAACACACTCCACTGGGCAGTCAGGAAGGAGTGAACCAGTTGATGCCTGAGGTTCCTCTGAGCTGAGTGATTCTGAGCCTCCCCAGTGGGAGGAGGAGAGGATGAGCTGTATCTTCAGGGTTTCTTCTTTTACTGGCTTTGCTCAAACAACGTCAAAGTCATCCTTAAAAGTTACTTATTCATAAGAGGGTCATTCATGGGCTTCTCAGGAAGGCAAACCCTATGTAGTTATTTATTTAATTTAAAAAGTGATTGATTGGTTGACGGATTGATTTCACACCAGGCATTTTCTCAAATGTCATTCTCCTCAAAGAGCTCTTCCATGACCATGCTTTATATAATTTAAATTCCCCACCACTTTTCTTCTTTTCCCACTCACTTCCTTTTTATATTTAGTGTCATTACTTTCTAACATCCTCCTGTGTGTTTTAGTTATTTATCTTCCTTGTATTTATCCATCTTTTTAATGAAGCCCCATTGTTTTGGTCACTACTCTTTCTCCAGCTCATGGCATGTTGCAGGCACTCAAGACAGATTTGTTTAAAAAGAAATGAATAACTTAATGAATAGTTGATAAAGATACATCCTGTGTTATGTTAACTGAGAGCTTCATTACTATTCGCCAGGATCATTAACTCACTTATTCAACAAATCCTTATTTATTAATTGTTTTATATTTTCAGTTTTTTTTAAATACATCTTTACTGATTTTAGAGAGGAAGGGAGAGGGATAGAGAGATAGAGAAACATCAATGATGAGAGAGAATCATTGATCGGCTGCCTCCTGAACGCCCCCCACTGGGGATCGAGCCTGCAACCCAGGCATGTGCCTTTGGCCAGAATCGAACCTGGGACCTTTCAGTCCGCAGGCCGACGCTCTATCCACTGAGCCAAACCGGCTAGGGCTCAATAAATCCTTATTGCACATCTAACATGAGCTACGCACATTAAAGTCCTTGATCTCATGAAGCTGATACTACACTAGAGGAGGCAGGTAGGCAATCAATCAACAAATAAGTATATAAAGTGTTGGCCCGTCATAGCACTGTTAAGAAAAATATGGCAGGAAAAAAGGGAGACGAACAAACGGGAGGTGCTATTTTAGCAGGGATGGCATCAATGCCAGTGCTATAGTTATTAGTTCAGTCACATCTGCAGGTCAGTTATCCGCCTGTGCCTCGTCTGTATGTTGTTTTGAGGAAGAAATTAGTTAATACACAAAAGCACTGGAAACTCTGCTTGACCCATAATACACTCCCAATAAATGCTAATTATCATTGTCATTATATAATAAATTATATAGAAATGATACACTAGTCTGGGTTAGTTCCTAAGTCAATTTGTTTTAGGATATGAATGTATTGTTAATAACTGTATATCAAGTATCAAATACTTTGAAAAGCAACTGTACACAGCCAAGAGTGGTCCTATAAAGGCCAGAAATACCCATATACTAGTAGATCCTTTTCATAGTTTTGTCACCTGTTTTCAGGAAATCAGAAAACAACCTCTCAGGGCTGCAGGCCCAGGTACCCAGCTGCCAGCTGACACATGCACCAGCCACAAACAATTGAATAACTTCCTTCTGCAAACCTTGTCAGTGTTGGGCACGCTGAAAAGAAGGACACAATCCCCACAACATAGGAACCTACAGCTTAAGAGGAGACACCAGCTGGACACCAAGAGCAAATTAAATTCCAAATAAACAAACAAAATTCAGCGCCTCCCCTTTAACTGCAATTCTTCAGGACCCCAGCTTTCTCACTAACCACCATTCTCCCAGTTACCCTGTGAGAACTTTGGAACTGTTAATGTCTCCTCTCCCTTGACCTCCATCCTATATAATAAAGAGGTTATATGCAAATTAACCCCCACACCCTTAAAAGATGGCTGTCTACGACCAGGCTGGCAGGGGGGTTAGTGAGGGATGACCAAACGACTGAACAGGAGGTTGCATGGGGCGACCAGTCCAGCAGGGGGCCTGTGAGGGGCAACCTGGCTGGTGGGGGGAGGAGGGGTGTGCTGTTAGGGGCAACCAGGCTGGCAGGAGGGGCAGTTGGAGGCAATTAGGCTGGCAGGGGGGCAGTGAGGGCCAACTAGGCCAGTGGGGGGAGGGGGGAGTTGGGCGTGATCAGGTCAGCAGAGAGGGCAGTTAGGGGTGACCAGGCAGGCAGGCAGGCAGGTGAACGATTAGGAGCCAGCAGTCCAGGATTGTGAGAAGGATGTCCGATTACCGGTGTAGGCCAGATCAGGCCTACACTGGCAGTCGGACATCCCCCAAGGGGTCCCAGATTGGAGAGGGTGCAGGCTAGGCTGAGGGGACCACCCCCTCCTTGCACGATTTTCGTGCACCGGGCCTCTAGTATATTTATAATAATCCAATACACATCTTCTAGACTCAGTGTCTGGAGTTGGCAATAAAATACCAAAGCAAATGTGATAACAGGGGAGGACTATATAACAAGATGAACAAAGAGTTGACAACAGTTGAAGGCTGTGCTCATACATTAGTATACATTCATTAGTACATTATTTTCTCTACACTTGTGTTTGAAAGGTTTGTGATCACAGTTGTCACAAGGATGACAACTATGATACAAGTTTTGAGAAGCACAGCGAATATATACAGACATAGAAACAAGCAAAGAGAAATACATTAACATCCTTATAGTTATCTCTACACCTGGGGTCATGGATAATGTTCGGCTTCCTTCAGCTATTTCTCAAATTCTCAATGATGAGCACAAATTAACTCAATAATCAGAATACGAACATAATGTCATAAAAAATAACAAGGAATTAATTGAATGAGCATAGCCTTCAAGTGCGCTAAGGTCCTAAATTATTACCAAATGACCCTCCCTCCTTCAGTCCCCGGGATTACCATTTCTTAGGGCTGAAGGAGGGTATGGCAGGAGGTCAAGAACCCAGGCTGCCTGGGTTCAAATTCTCAGTTCTATGTCTTCTCTGCTCCCTTAAACTCTTCACCTCTCAACATTCTTTGTCTGTTATGAGGATTAAACTAATTAAAGCAAATAAAACCTATAGAAGACTGCCACTCAACATGTTTAATATTGTTACTCGTTCAACAATGTCTCATCCAAGCTCCCCTTCACTCATTAAATGTCTGAACATTTGCCCAACAGAGAAAACTTGCTAATGCGTGAAGGAAGTCTGCTCCCCTATTGAGAACAGCAATGACGCACAGCTTGTTAAATTATCCCACGTTGGGACAATGTGACCACAAGCCAGGGGTCACTCCCTCCGCTCTGCACCCTCTTTGAGAAGCCAGGCTGAGAACGGACAGGAGGCTGGAAGATATTACAAGAGTGTCCTGGTCCAGGATGAATCACAGTGGGCATCCTCCAGGCACTAGCGGGGGATGGCCCACTTCTGCCTTTCAAACAGGATCGGGGGGAGTGGGAAGTCCTTTGCAATCCACCAACAGCCCTGCTCCCCACCGCAGAGGACAGACAAGGGCCAGAGGTGCTAGAGCTGGAGCTCAGAACTTAGGCAGGCTCAGCACCGAAGCTTTCAGGGACTGAGCACTTCTCAGAAAGAAATAATAGATTGATAACAACCAGCCACCTCTTAGCTTGTGCTGGGATCACTGCTAAGCACTTTTACATCTTTTTTTTCTCTTTTTTAAATATATTTTATTGATTTTTTACAGAGAGGAAGGGAGAGGGATAGAGAGTCAGAAACATCGATGAGAGAGAAACACCAAACAGCTAGCTGCCTTCTGCACACTCCCCACTGGGCATGTGGTCCCAACAAAGGTACATGCCCTTAACCGGAATTGAACTTGGGACCCTTAGGACCACAAGCCGAGGCCCTATCCACTGAGCCAAGCCGGCTAGGGCTACATCTTTTACTTTCACCTAATCTTAAAACGCACCCACTAGGGAGGTCCTCCTCGGGCAGAACAGTGAGAAGCTAGGAAAATTCCTTGGCAGGTGGAATGGGAAAACACAGATAACTGAACCAACCCACAGAGCAATTCACAGCCAGATACAGGTCACAGGTGGAAGGCCCCGGGAAAACTGGGGCCGTACCTTGCCGCAGGGTGATGTTTCATATCGCGGGTCATCGGTTTAGACCTTCCCCCTGACTTTCCTTCTCTAGAGATAACATCAAGGCATCCCTTGTATTTCAGCTCCAGGCCCAGAAAAGCTGCAAAACCAGGACAGGGAGGCCAGGGCCTGGAGCTGACCTAACAGTGGAGCTCAGGTCCATGAAAGTGCACACCTGGAAAAGCTGATGAATATTTTTTCGAGATCCTCCCCTAAAAACCCCGCCTTTGGGAAGCAGATAAAACCTCTCAAGATAAAGGAAGCCGGCCCTGGCTCCCTTTGGAGCACGCCCCCGCCTTCTCACGGGTGAACTTTCTATTTTCTTTCCCCTAAACTCTTCCTGTCCCAGCTTTAATGAACAGCCTCTTAAAATCACCTGGATTCCTGCTGTGAAATCTTACCTACACGAAATCAAGACCCCACACACTCCCGACCGGCTGGAGGGCAACTCGGCCTGATGCCGGTCCAGTGGGACACTACTGTCCGGTGACACGACTATCAACCCCTCTCCAGGCAGGAGAAACAGATAAATCAATATCTCCACAAAGATTATACAACTGGAACGGCACGGAGTGAGCGGAAGTAAGGGAGGCAAGGGGATCGGCCCAGAGACACTGAAACAGATTCCCGACCTGGCCGCTCCCCAACTCCACGCGCGAACCTTGCACAAACCTGTCATCCGCCGCTTCTGTTCCCCAAGAGCGAGGATGGCACCTACGGGGCCCACGCCACGCAAGCCAGTCAGAGACACGGGGTCCGCACTCGCTCGCTCGCTCGTTCACCTCCTCGGAGATCGTGGTGACTCGCGCCCATCCCACTCCAGAACCCCGGAGGGAAACGGGGGTGGGGGGTGGGGGGGTGCGCACAGCTCCGCCCTCCCAGAGCGGAAGTGGATCTCACTGCCCAGCACTTCTGGACTACACTTCCCAGGATCCTCCACAAGGTGGCGCTTATATTAGGTTGCCGCTTCAAATATATATATACTTGAAATATATACTTGAAATTTCAAGAAACATTTTGAAAATGTTTCTTTCTTCAGATCACCTTCAAACGTCTCATAATCTATATCCAGCCTGCTCTTGACATCATAAATACAATAGGATGTTTTACTTTTCTACAAGAGCCATGACTATTCAAAAAGTAGGTGTGGATGTATGGTATCGCACTCAAGTAACTAACAAATTCAACTTTTTTAGGGCACTTTGAGGTATGCTAGGGTGTCTCAAAAAATGTATACACTTTAAAACTGCGAGCACTGCTTGGAGGTTGTTAAATATGGGACACTTCATGAATTTGCGTGCCATCCTTGCGCAGGGGCTATGCTAACTTTCCCTGTGTTGTTCCAATTTTAGTATATGTGCTGCCAAAGCGAGCACTGATAGCTCAATGTTGAAAAGGCAATGTATTTTAATAAACACTGCCTTGGTAATTATTCAAAGTGTGTGTATACATTTTGGAGGGACACCCTCTATTTAGTCTCTAGCCAGGTAGCTCAGTTGGTTTTGCCCTGCTACACCAAGGTTGCAGATTTGAACCCTGGTCAGGGCACATACAAGGAGCAATCAATGAATGCATGAATGGGTGGAGCAACAAGTCAATGTTTCTCTCCCTTCCCTTCACTCTCTAAAGTCAATCAATAAATTTTTTGTTAAAGTGTATGCTATGAATTGGTATATGTATAGTAAGTACATTGTGAATGTACTTACAATCTAACTTACACATCCATCAACTCACATTGCTAACTTTGTGGTGAGAACCTTTAAGATCTACTCTCAGCAAATTTCAACTGTAGCCAACGTGGAATACACTAGATCCTCAGACCTTAATCATCTTATAACTGAAGGTTTGCACCCTTGAGCCAACCTCTCCCTACTTCCCCCACCCCCACCTGCATCCCCCAGGTAACCACCACCATTCTACTCTGTTTCTATGAGTTTAACTTTATTCCTCCCTTAGATTCCACATGTAATTCTACTAGGCAGTATTTGTCTTTCTCTGTCTGGCTTATTTCAGTTAACATAATGCCCTCCTGTCACATTCATGTTATTGCAAATATTTCTATAAAATAATGATTAGAGTTAGAGGCTCAATTTGATTCATTTTTTAAAAAATATATTTTTATTGATTTCAGAGAAAGGAGAGGGAGAGATATAAACATCAATGATCAGAGAATCATTGATCACTGCCTCCTACACACCCCCTCCTGGGGATCGAGCATGCGACCCCGGCATGTGCCCTGACTAGGAATTGAACACTCAACCACTGAGCCACATGGGCTGGGCTAATTCATTTTTTCTCAGAAAGAATACTTTATGGGTGGTTCTGTTTGTATCTCCTGAAAGTTGCCAAGATATCCTAAAAGAGAACAAGATAAGGACACGTCCTCTACTAAATATCAAGACTCATTGAAAGCCTGGCTGGCGTGGCTCAGTGGTTGAGCATCAACCTATGAACCAGGAGGTCATGGTTTGATTTCCCGTCAGGCACATGCCTGGGTTGCGGGCTTGATCCCCAGTAGGAGGTGTGCAGGAGGCAGCTGATCAATGATTCTCTCTCATCATTGATGTTTCTATCTCTTTCTCCCTCTCCTTTCCTCTCTGAAATCAATAAAAATTTATATATATAAAAAAAGACTCATTGCAAAGCTATAGTAACTAAAGTACTGTGGTTTTGGTAAAAATATTGAAAATAGATCAATCAAAGGAAACTGAGAACCAAAACAGACCTGTAATTATGTATAGATTACTGGTTTTCTTTAAACATGGTACTGCAAAGTAGTGGGGAATGAGGCAAAATTTCGGTAACTGGCATAGGAAGAACTAGATATTCCTATGAAGAATAATTAAATTCTGCCAGAGGCAATATACACCTTGAAGATTCCATAAGTTGATTTTAATTTCATCACCTACCAAAAAATAAATTTCAAAAAAAAGAGAATGGGAATTTTTTAAAAAAAATGTGCATGGCCCTAGCTGGTTTGGCTCAGTGGATAGAGCATTGGCCTGCGGACTGGAGGGTCCCAGGTTCGATTCCAGTCAAGGGCATGTGCTTGGATTGCAGGCTTGATCCCCAATAGGGGGCGTGCGGGAGGCAGCCGATCAATGATTCTCTCATCATTGATGTTTCTATCTCTATCTCCCCCTCCCTTCCTTTCTGAAATCAATAAAAATATTTTTTAAAAATGTGCATGTACACAGAAGTATCAATATATGTATAAATTCACTTGTATAGAAAAATGACTCAAACACATTACCCACTATATGAGATTTTAAATAATTTTTACAGAAAGGTTTAAATTATTTCAAAACAATAAGTTTAAAGAAATGCAGGAGTTGGGAGGCTGGGTGAAAAAGGTACAAATTGGCAGTTACAAAGTAGTCTTGCGGATGTAAAGTACAGCATAGGGGATCTATATAATAAAAGTCTTGACTGTTATAGCACAATGACCAGAATAACCAGTCACTATGATGCCTACTGATCACCAGGGACAGACGCTCAAGGCAGGAGCTGCCCCCTGGTGGTGAGTGCACTCCCACAGGGGATGTACCGCTCAGCTGCCAGAAGCCAGGCTCACAGCTAGTGAGAGCAGCGGCAGTGGCAGGAGCCTCACCCGACCCTGCAGCAGCGCTAAGGAGCAGCAAGCAGGGAGGCGTTAAGGAGCGAGGGTCCCAGACTGGAGAGGGCACAGGCTGGGCTGAGGGATTCCCTCCTCCAGTGCATGATTTTTGTGCACCAGGCCTCTAGTATAGTCAATAATATTTTAATGGGCATGTGCAGGAGGCAACCAATCCAGGTGTCTCTCTCACATCAATGTTTCTATCTCTCTTTCTTTCTCTAAAAATCAATGGAAAAAAATATCCTCAGGTGAGGATTAACAACAAAAATACCCCACAAAAATAACCAAGAATGTATTCTACATTTTTAACAGATGGGGGGAAATGAAAAGAGTATTTCATGACACCTGGAAAATATATAATAAATTCAAATTTCAGTGTCCATATAAAGTTTTATTGGAACACAAAAAATGCAAAATCCCATTTAGAGATAACTAGAATACCTACCTAATGCATTTATACCTTTTTTTAAAAAAAAAAAGTGATCACATGAAAATCCCAAGATTTGTTTTCCAAATGAATATATTCTGGACATCATCCAACATCGTTTACAACAAATTTACCTTCTCCCATTTGATGTTTGCATAGTGTTCCTCTGGATCAATGAATTGTAAAACACTTTGACAATCAATGATTATTTCTATGTTTGTTTTTATAATCAATAATGCAATTAATGTTCATATATATGAACATTACAAACACAAATTCACTTCTGAAGAGCAAAGATTCACCTCTGGGGATATATTCTTTAATTTTAATCCAATATACTGTATGAAATAAAGCAATCATATTATGAGTCCTTGACTATAGGTAATTTTTAGTTATTTTATTCATTTCATTTTTCATACCTTTTAAACTTTATTTAAAAAAATGGTCACTGTAAATACATATAAATTGGAAGTTAATGAGAAAATAATCCAAAACCTTCCCTGATAGCCCCCAAACTAGATTGTATATGGCAAATAATCCTTTTCACACATTCTTTTTTGGCATGCACTCATTTTGAAAGATCATTTACATCAACTGGATTTTACCAAGAGGGTTACAACATATTTCTCCCCTGAATATCAGTCCTATTCCTGGATTTATTAGATTCCAAGTGAAGAAACCCTGTAGAGAGCGCCTGGGAAAGGCCCCTGAGATGACAATCTCTGAATCCAGTGGATCCTGGCAGAGCCATGCCCTGGAACCATACCTTGCCAGAGGCAGGTGTGCTGTCAGTCTGACCTTTAGTTCAGGCGCCAGGGGGTGGGTTTCATTATCTAAACCCAGCCAGGCACCAGGAACAAACATGATTATCCAGCCCATCCAGAAGTGACGATTATCGCTTCTCGGCCTTTTGGCTAAGATCAAGTGTAGTATCAGAAGTGACAATTACAAAGAAGCCACAGGAATGCACATACTTTCTTTATCTTAAACTTTGGTAAAACTTCCTGGTATCTTACTGTATAAAATAATGTGCTGTATCGGTTCTGGGTCCCTGTCTCTCCATCAGAGGACAGCTGTCCCATCTGGTCCCAGCTTTCCTACTGTCTTTGTGTCTGTCTCTCTCATTTTCTCAATCCCCCGTTGCCCATACTCAGGACTCCTGTCTGCTCTCTAGCCGTGCTGGTCTCAGAAAAGAGAGCAATATTTATAAAACCCCTTTCCACTCTCAAAACTTTAGTGTTTTATCCCCAGGATGGACTCTCCAAAAACTAGATGTACAACCTGACTGGAAGCATGAACACCTTTCTCATTCTTAACGATTCTTGCCAGAGTGGACTTTCTGGTGTTGTGTGAGACGTGAGCGGTGACTGAAGTCCTTCCCACATATGTCACACTTGTACGGTTTCTCTCCAGTGTGGAATCTCAGATGGGCCTGAAGACGTGAACTCTGACTGAAGCCCTTCCCACACTCCTCACATTTAAATAGTTTCTCCCGAAGGTGAACACTCAGATGGACTCTAAGATTTGAGGGGAGACTAAAGGATTTTCCACACTCCTCACACTTATGGGGCTTCTCTCCAGTGTGCACCCTCTGGTGATGGCGAAGATTCAAGCTCCTACCAAAGCCTTTCCCACACTCCTCACATGTGTAAGGTTTCTCCCCCGTGTGGCCTCTCTGATGGTACAGAAACTGTGAGCTGTACCTAAAGCCCTTGCCACAGACATCACATGTGTATGGCTTCTCCCCAGTGTGGACTCTCTGATGGGACTGAAGGCCAGAGGACTGACTGAAGCCCTTCCCACACACACCACATGCGTACGGTTTCTCTCCAGTGTGGACTCTCTGATGGACCCGAAAATCGATGGCCTGACTGAAGCTCTTCTCACACTCGTCACATTTATAGGGCTTCTCTCCTGAGTGGACTCGCTGATGAGCGTGAAGATTTGATCTCCAACTAAAGCCCCTCCCACACTCCTCACACTTGTATGGCTTCTCTCCCGTGTGAATTACTTGGTGCAGTTTAAGGTTGGAACTGTAACTGAAGCCCTTTCCACACACATCACATCTGTAGGGCTTCTCCCCAGTGTGGACTCTCTGATGGGTTTGCAGCTTTGAAGACTGACTGAAGCCCTTCCCACAAGTCTCACATTTGAATCGTTTCTCCCCAGTGTGGACGTTCTGATGGACTTGAAGGTTGGAAGCCTGGCTGAAGCCCTTCCCACACTCCTTACATCTGTAGGGTTTCTCTCCTGTGTGAACCCGAAAATGGATGTGAAGATCCGTATTGCGAGTAAAGCCTTTCCCACACACCTCACATTTGTACGGTTTCTCTCCAGTGTGGAGTCTCCGGTGGCATATTAATGGTGAATTGTGGCTGAAGCCCTTACCACAGACGTCACACTTATAAGGTTTCTCCCCAGTGTGGACCCTCTGATGGATGTGATAGTGGGCGGCCTGAGTGAAGCCCTTCCCGCACTCCTCACAGATATAGGGTTTCTCACCCCTGTGGACCCTCTGATGAACACGAAGATTAACACTCCAACCGAAGCCCTTGCCGCACTCTTCACATTTGTATGGCTTTTCTTCAGTGTGGACTCTCTGATGGCACTGAAAGTTTGAACTCTGGCTAAAGCATTTACCACACTCCTCACATTTATAGGGTTTCTCTCCAGTGTGAGTTCTACAATGAATGTTAAGGTGTGAGCTATGCTTAAAAGCCTTGCCACATGCATCGCATTTGTATGGCTTCTCACCTGTGTGCATTCGTTGGTGAGCCTGCAGTCGTGAATGCCAACGGAAGCCCTTCCCACACTTTTCGCATTTGTAAGGTTTCTCTCCCATGTGAACTCTCTGATGGACTTGAAGATGTGCACTCTGACTGAAGCCCACCCCACACTCCTCACATTTATAGGGTTTCTCTGATGTGTGGGTTATCAGAGAAGTTAGACAATGTGAGCTTTGCTTAACATGTCTTCCGCACTCCTCAAATTTGTGTGGATTTTCTCCTGTAAGAACTCTCTGATGATGAGGAAGATATGACCTCTGACTAAAATTCTTACATGATGTATCATATTTGTACGATTTCCCTCTACTGAGGACTCTCTGATGGGCTTGAAGACTTGAAACCCGGTGGAAGGCATTTTCACATTTTTCACATTTACAGGGCTTCTCTCCGTTCTGTAATGAATGGTGAGACCTGTGCTGCTGCTGAATCCCTTGCCACAGCTGTCACATCTATAGGACTTTTCTCCTGCATGATCAGAATGAGAATGAAAGGAACTCTTATTGAGGCAATCATCGGAGTCATGACATTTCGAGAGTTTCTCTCCGGGGTGAGTCCTCTGAGGAGCCAGCAGGTGTGAGTTCTGAGCCAAGCATTTCCCTCCTGGGTGTGCAGTCTGGTGACTTGAAAGCAGTGAGTTGTAGCTGAAGCCCTTCCCACACTCACTACAGAGATGCAGTTCCTCTCTGCAGGGTAAATGCTGACAGACGCCATCGCTCATGCTGTTCCCACAGTCATTAGATCTGTAGGGTTTCTGTTCTGTGTGAATTTTAATATGATCACTAAGTAGTGATTTCTTCACGGCTTCGCAGGCATGCAGGTGATCTTTCACGTGACTTTGCTTACCTCCATTCTGAGTCTGTGACTCACTCAGGTGAATATTCCCACAAGCATCCTCGACATGGACACGGTCTTGATTTTCAACACAACAGGAGCCATCTCCTTTACATTTCACCACACCGCTCCCACTCCCAGGAGTCTGATCAGAACGGCCTTGTAGTAACCGGGAGCTCGCCCTCTGAGGACACCTGGCTGAATCACTTGCAATCTGTCTCCAGATTTGCCAGAATAGCTTTTCATGTGAAAGGTACTTTAATGCAACTTTCTGAAGAATCTCCACCTCATTCTGCTTCTTGCTGCCTGGAAGAAAAAGCGGTATTCCAAGATGACGACAAGTGAAAGCTTCGCTCAGAAATGTCAGGATTTCACACTTAGACCACGGGGCAAGGCCTTCACAAACCTAGGGAGGGTCATCTCTGTACAACACCATTTGTCCTTTTCTTGCTTTCCCGTGCAGTTGAAGCAAAGAATGGAGTCACCAGACTCTTACCCACTAAGTGTAAAGGTGACCCATTCAGAACCATAAGTCTAACATGTAACACCTGAGCTGAAGTCTGGACTCAGATGGCTGCAGAGCAACAAAGACAATCCCCATTCCAACCGACAGTGACATCAATTAGAAGTTGCTCACCTTGTCCACAGTATTCCTATGACCAGTGGGATTCTACTCGTTAGGCTACAAAAGCTCAGACTGTAGGCGTACAATAGGATTTTAGGTCCTGATAAAAACTATCTTCTAAGAGTAAATTTGGGAAATGGTCGGACTAATAACATTCATTGTTCTAAATCTGGAAGTAAACCAGGTCTCAGTAAGAAGTGGGAAAGGGAAAACTAATCTGGCACAACTCAGGAAGAACCCGGGAAAAGGAAAGAAACGGCCCAGTGCAGACTCTCAGAGGCAATCCTGACGAGGAAGAGAGGGAGGTCTCCGCGCCTTGGAAAGCTTTCTCGCGGGAGCTAGTGCCGTGCTGTTTCTCATCCCCTCAGGTCTCTACTCAAACGTCACTCAATTGGGTGAGGCCTTCCTTATCACTCAATATAAAATAATTCCTCCTCACCCCCATACACCTTTGATTCCTTCCATTTGCCTTTCCTGCTTTATTTTGCCCCACAGCACTTGCCCGATTGACTACATACTTCCTAATTTTTTCTTGTCATTTGAGACCCACTGGAATGCAATGGTCACAGGGAAAACATGCACTGTTTTCGTTACTGCTTTATCACAGCTGCAACAGAATTTTTCAAATTGCTGAGAGGTATCAGTGAACTGTGAACCCGATTCCATAATTGTGACAAATATTAAAAAAAAGAATAAAAATATGAGAAGTGTATCCCAAGCTAAGGGTACCACAACTGTGTGAAAAGCTTGTTTCAGCTACAGGCACGTATGTAAATATGCACATACATTATACTGATGCTGGGTCAAGATGTAAAATATTTCTTATTGAAGGTCATGACTAAAAATGGTTGGAAGCCAGTGGCTTAAAATGTTTACGGTGAGGGAGAAGGGTACCAAATCCTTAAAAATTTATTGGAGTTAGATTCTAATAATACAGGCTAAACAAGTCTCAACAGGTATATTCACGGTTCTGGGTGTGGTGGGCTAACTGAATGGCTCTCAAAGACGTCCACACCCTAACCCATAGGACCTGGGAAAATGTTAACATTCCCGACAAAGGGGACTTCAGATGTGACTAAGTTAAGGCTCTTGAGAGGGGGTTATCCTGGGTTATCTGGATGGGTCCAAAGTAATCACAAGCGTCCTTATAAGAGGGAGCAGGAGGGGACCCTACGAGACCTCACCCTCTGCTTCTATCCCTCTTGCTGGTGTGGAGACTATTGTCACAGTCCAGGCAAGAGATGACAGCACTCCTACACGAGTGGTAATCACAGATGCAGTGAGCAGATTAGCCGGTACCTGAAAGAACAGCCATGTGGTTTTCCCTGGAATTCCCATTTCTTTGAGTTTCTCTTTCCATCATCCAGAGGTTTTCTTCTGCCTCCAACTGGGTTGCCTTACCTGGTTTGAAGGAAAGATATCCTATGAAAAGGCAGATATATGTATACATGTAAGATGCGCAGAGAGCTAAAATATATTTTTGTTCAAATTCCATAATCCTCAGAACCTGTAAAGTGATATTTTTAAGAGCTTTTTGATCATGAACTATAATAATAAAGAAATTTAGGTCGTGACCTAGTTCACATCTATCCTATATAATAAAGGGCTAATACGTATATGCAAATCGACCGAACGGCAGAACCACCAGTCGCAATGATGCGCACTGACCACCAGGGGGCAGACGCTCAATGCAGGAGCTGCCCCCTGATGGTCAGTGTATTCCCACAGGGGGAGCACCGCTCAGCCATAAGTCTTGAGCTGGGCTCCTGGCTGGCGAGCACCTCCACCACAGTCAGACATCCCCCGAGGTCTCCTGAACTGAGAGAGGGCGCAGGCCAGGCTGAGGAAACCCCCGCCAAGTGCACGAATTTTGTGGACCAGGCCTCTAGTATATAGATAAAATTAGATTTAGCCATTGTCTATTTCCATTGAATTTCTCACACGCTCACACCACTCACTGCAAATGGACACAGTATAGGCTGCAATGTGAGCAGGCAGGTCTTGATACAGAACACTGACAGAGTGAAATAGAAAAAGGATAGGAACTATTTCATGGGGGGAAAGTAATGCCAATGCAGGAGTGGGCAAGAGTACGTTACAGTTGCTCATATGGAAAAGCTTTAAATCAAAAGAATGTCACTCACAACTGTAAAGTTCCTTCTGCCTGCCCCTGGACAATGTGCTCAGTTGATTCCATGACCTATCAATGGGTCACAACCATAATCTGAAAGATGAAGTATTTGAAGGACAAAGAATAGAAGCTAAGCTGCCTGTTTATACTTCATGTAAAATAGGGCTTCTCAGCCAAGGCACTGTTGATCGTTTGGACTGGCTAATTCTCTGCTGTGGGGGTTATTCTTTGCATTGAAAGCGGTTTAGCAGCATCGCTAGCACCCCTCCCCCAGTCATGACAATCGAAACTGTCCCCATACATTGCCAAATGTCCTTGGGGGGAGGGGGGGCAGGTGACAAGATTTTTCCCTGAGTAGGAAGACCAGAAAAACCTTTGCCTGTAATCCCAGGGGTTGGAAAAACTGTGTCTTCAAGGTCAGGGAACTATTTCAAAAGGTCCAACTCTCTGAACAAAGGACACAGAGACTCTCAAAGGGGCTGAGATTCAGTGTCAGAGGGCGCCCGTCCTCACCCACTGAGACCAGATTCCGGAAGTTCTCCAGCATCACGTCTTGGTACAGCTTCCTCTGGACAGGATCCAACAGCACCAGCTCCTCTTCAGTGAAAACCACAGCCACATCCTTGAAGGTCACTGCCTCCTACAACACCAAACACACTCCACCTGAATCTTGCAAAAAAGGCCCATGAAGGAACCATCGACAAGTTAAAGAACGTTATCAAAAAATCGTTAGAGATGGAGGACCCCAGGCAGTTTTCAGTCAACAGTTGTCCCTCTCTCACTACCTCTCCCTACCTCCCTACAAGCCTTGGGCTCTGTCACTGTTTTTAACGTTTGCAAAGTTCACAGGCCTTCAGCAATCCTCCAGGACAGGTCTCCAGCTTATAGCTCTTCCTCTGTGTTTTGAAGACACATGCCACAGCTGATGAAGGAACAGGCCAAGTTCAAATGCCAAGGTATTAATTACAAGAGGTTGGACAAATCCCTTAACCTCTAACAATCTCCACTTCTTCTCTACAACGGTGTCTCAATTGCAAGATGTTTGAAAGGATTAGATGAGTGAATATACGTAAAGTAGTTAAAATGGTGCCTGGCACATAACAAATACTAAGTAAGTTTGAACAACTGGTATCGTTATAGACTCTTCCATTCCATTTTAGGATTGCAGAGTATAGTATTCCTTAGAACTGACCACTTATCTTTGTTTTTTGATGTTTTTTTTTGCTGGTGGTGGTTGTTTTGATGATTTATCTTTAATACAGATATATAATTAATTACAGATGTTTTACTTATAATCAATGCTGCAAAGATCCTTTTACAGAAATCTTAGCCTAGAAGTAACGATTGCAAAGTCATAGGATAGAATATGAAGTTACAAATTTGAAAGCAGAATGGCAAATAGCAGATTTCCCTCTCTAAAGGTTTTCCCAAGTTACCTTTCTTTTTTTTTACTTTTTAAATATATTTTATTGATTTTAGACAGGAAGAGAAAGGGAGATAGAAATATCAATGATGAGAGAATCATTGATTGGCTGCCTCCTGCACGCCCCCTGCTGGAGATGGAGCCCGCAACCCAGGCATGTGCCCTTGGCCGGAATCGAACCTGGGACCCTTCAGTCCGCAGGCTGATGCTCTATCCATTGAGCCAAACCAAATAGGGCCCAAGTCACCTTTCATGTGAGAATACAAATGTCCCTGAATCTCTAGAGCAGTGGTTCTCAACCTGCGGGTCGCAACCCCTTTGGGAGTCAAACGACCCTTTCACAGGGGTCACCTAAGACCATCGGAAAACACATATATAATTACATATTGTTTTTGTGATTAATCACTATGCTTTAATTATGTTCAATTTGTAACAATGAAATCGGGGGTCACCACAACATGAGGAACTGTTTTAAAGGGTCGCGGCATTAGGAAGGTTGGGAACCACTGCTCTAGACTCTGGACAAATAGGACATAATTCCTTTAAAAAAAAATTTGACAACCTAAGTGAAGTAAAGTTTTTCTTAACATTTACACTCATTTAGTTATTAGTGATCATTATTTTCTACATAAATTTACTTTATTTTTTGTGTGGTTCATTTCTTTTATTCATATTCCCTTGAGTTTACCTTACTAACCTTAATAAGCATTGTCAATAGTAAGCCTTTATCTAATATGTATAAGTATATCCTGTCAATTCTAATTTTGCAAATGTATAAGTATGAGTGCATGTGAGAAAGTAAAAACAGCTAGTTTGTAAAAGAGGGTAGTAACAATGGAAATTATTTTTGTCTATTTCATATTTGTATTATCTTTTTCAGATTATTTTGTGAAATAATAAAGATAAAAACAAACAAACAAAACACACACACACACACAGAGTCTAGCGCACAACATGCACTCAAGATCGGTTGTTTTCCATGAAGCTTTCCAAGGAAGAGAAAAAAGATGTGCCTAATCTTTAAGAAATAAAATCACATCTTAGGAGACAGAAAGAAATGCCTTACTTACCTGAAACTTGGTCATTTTCTCCTGCTCCTTCTGGGGAACGTCAGGGTCCTGAGAAGGCATAACTGGGGAAGGACAAAGAAGCCATGAGCCTGGCTGGTGTGGCTTCCGTGGCTGAGCGTGGACCTATGAACGAAGGGGTTCCATTCCCCGTAAGAGCACATACCCAGTTGTGGGCCCGATCCCCAGTAGGGGGCGTGCAGGAGGCAGCTAATCAATGATTCTCATCATTGCTACTTCTCTCCCTCTCTCTTCCTCTCTGAAATCAATAAAGATACATTTAAAAAAAAAGAAGAAGAAGAAGCCATGAGCCACAGGTCTGGGCTCCCATAAGCCCATGTGGACCTTTGAAGAAATTACAAGAGCACTCCTACTTCCCGGCAGATGCAGCCACATCCGGCTTGATAAGCGGAGCATGGAAGAGACTGCAGCTACTAATGGGTTTGTCCGCCGGGGACCACTGGATAGTGAACAATCTGCACAACCAAATGCAGGATCCCTACCGTAAGGGTTTCTGATCCTGGGGATGGGAAGAAATGAGAGGCACTGTAACAACACAAGGGTTAAAAAAAAGTGGGCTCTGGAGTCAGGGGCCTAGGTTTATTTATTTATTCTATTTTCTATATTCTTATTCTTATTATTTATTATACTATCTAAGTCTATATATTGGCTTGTCTCATAGGAGAGAGAGCACCTGAGAAAGTTAGACTTTGTTGCTATAGTAAGCTCACATTGTGTTAGACCAGTGGTTCCCAACTTTTTGGCCATGCCCCACCTAAGCATCTCTAAAATCCTGAAGCCGCCCCTGTGACATATAATTCTTATTATTCAAAAAGTGAACCCTTTTTTTTAAAAAAAAAGAAAACAGTGAACTCCTATCACGTGGAGGAAGCCTAAAAGCCATTAACTTGGTCTAAACAAGCTTCCAAAGAACATGGCATCCATGAAAGAGAAAAATAAAAGAACGAAAGGACAGTTGAAGGACTGAGGAAGAAATCGCTAAGAAATTGCTAAAATAATAATAATAATAATAATAATATGAAGTTATGTGAAAAAATAGCAAATAAAGTTTCAAAATATATAATAGAGAACTGAATGCATAAATGCCACAATATACATTTATGTACTGTATATGAGACCCCTAGAACTATAAGAAATGCAAAAACTTCAGTTAGTAACTCATACTCAAATTGCCCCCCACTTAAAAAATCAAATTGCTCCCCTCTGAGAGCAACCTGCACCCCACGTTGGGAATCACTGTGTTATACATTTAGGGGCCTAGGTTTAAATCCTGGAAATGATACTTACCATCTGGGTAACAGCGGGGTATGCTAACAAAACCAAACCAAACCTCTCTGCACCTCACTTTGGTCATCTGCACTATAATACGCTAAGAATCGTATATTATACCCATTTCATACAGTTGTTCCCAGGACTAAATGAATAGATGGGAAGTTCTAAGAACCAGGAATCCTGTAGCTACAAAAAGAGCAGATAACACTTTGCATCATAAACTGTACAGATGTCCTCGACTTAGGTTGCAGTTATGTCCCGATAAACTCATTGTAAACTTGAAAATATCATAAGTCAAAAATGCAGTTAAGCCGTGGCCGGATAGCTCAGCTGGTTAGAGCATTGTCCTCATACACCCAGGTTTCCCGTTCGAAGTCCAGTGAGGGCACATTAGAGAAGCAGCCAATGAATGCACAAATAAGTAGTTGATCTTCGTCTCTCTCTCTCTCTCTAAAAATCAATACAAAAACATTTTTAAATGCAGGTTAATTGATCTCTCTTTTCCTCCCTCTTTAAAAATCAATTTAAAAATCTGTAAATGCAGGTAATACACTGAACGTACTGAACATCATAGCTCATCCTAGCCTAAATGTGCCCAGAGCACTTACATTAACCTACAGTTGAGCATTTATCTTGAGTTTTATCTCAAGAGTAAAATACACAATATCCAAAAAATGCTGGCAGCACAGCTGACTGGGAGCTGTATCTTGCTGCTGCTGCCCAGCACCGTGAGTGTGTGTTGTAGCACATATCGCTAGCCCAGGAAAAGATCAAAATTCAAAATATAGTTTCTACTGAATGCATGTTGCTTTTGTACTATTGTAAAGTAAAAAAAAACAAAAAACAAACAAAAAAAAAACCCAAGTAGAACCATCATAAGTTGGGGACTGCCTGGATTTGCAAATATCCTTCCCAACAAAAAAACAACTATAAAGACCTGAAATGTCATTTATTATTGCTCTCCTATGAAAGTCACCTTGAAAATCTGGAAACCCTAATTCTCACTTAAAATTTCTTCTTACCTAATAATATATTGCCCAGCTAATAACATTTTGTTGACGCTGGTATTAGTTTTCTAAACAGTGTCATTTCGGGTCAGTTTATTTCGTGCAGCCAGAAAAGGCTATTGGTAAATAAACCTTTTATCCTATGTGCATGGTGATGAAGAAAAACACACAGCGAAGAGAAAGAAAAGTCAAGAAACATGGAAGACAGATTGAGAGGCCCTAACGCAGCGTTCTCAACCTGTGGGTCACGACCCCTTTGGCGGTCGAAGGACCCTTTCACAGGGGTCGCCTCAGACCAGCCTGCATATCAGATATTTACATGACGATTCCTAACAGTAGCAACATGACAGTGATGAAGTAGCAACAAAAATAATTTTATGGTTGGGTCACAACATGAGGATCTCTATTTAAAGGGCCAGAAGGTTGAGAACCACTGAAATGGATTCTGTAGTTCACAGGCTGGGATTGCCTTTGGCATCTATTTAAACAGAACT